CTGGTATGTGACATATGCTGGTGGCGCATCGAAATATTTTAGTATTTTGCAGCCACAGAACTTTGGCTTCAACCTCTGTAGCTTAAGCACATCCATTTACTGAGGCAAATGGGAGAACACCACGTTTCACGTTCTGGCGTATATTCACATACCAGTACAGAAGCTTGTTGTTAGCAAAAACCATTCCTCTAGACTCTGTTGGTGTACTAATTTGTCGTCACTTTCAAGTGTGGTACAGTGCTTACGATGCATTACATAGTAGCTCCAGTTGTCAGGGTTATATTTTCCCCCATACACATGCCACACTGCGTCTCTTAACGCTATGCGTTTTCGGGTTCCGCTCCTAACGATTGGTGGTGCGGATTTAATCAGATTGTTGAATTTGCAAAGAAACTCCGTCCATGCAGTATCAGTGTAGCACTTGTCCGAAAAAGCCCGAATGGCATCCCCAACAAGTTCTGTGAGTATGTCGTCGTGGTGATTGTTCGAAATAACTCACTATGTTCAATATATTGGAATATGTTGGACCACTGTGATTTCATGATTCAGAAGGTTTGTATAAATCGGTTGGTAGGTTTATGCGGCAACGTTCGCCTACACCTGGCTGAGAAGCTCTTGTGTCAAGGGCGAACTGCACAATAAACCTACCAAACCGATTTGTATACAAACCTTCAACATCACTATGTCCTCTGGATGTGCATCATAACACACATAGTCGTAAAACTATTCTTACATGATAACTCCGCACCAGTGGGCTCTCTAGTTGTGGTTTCTTGATTATGCGCTCTTCGTTCGTGAGCACTTAGTCCAGCACGAATGTCTTATTTCCCGTTCTGAATTTGGTGGGCGAACTGACATGGCTAAATGCAATAAGGTCTTATAGGTCTGTCTTGAATTGTTCGTTGAGAAAAGCCGGAATTTCCGAACCGTGAACATTGAACTCTCCGGAGATAAGAACATGCTGTATCCTCGTCGATGTACCCTCCTTAATACTAGTGTCAGACGGAGTAGACATTAGTGGGGGCGCTAAGCGACTGCCAAAAGCAGGTATCGTTGCGCCTTTGTCGCAGGCTACATCAGAGCGAGTCTCTGAGTAGTATTTCCGAATGTTCCCCTGGCTCACACTGCAGGTCATTGCGATAGTATATAATTACCTTGCTGTCCTGCAGCGGCGATCGTTTCGAATGAAGGACATACCATGTATTACTACTTCGGCGTCGGTAATTTCTGAATACAGCCAATTTTTAATTATAATGCGTGACATAGCCGTAGCTCGGCAAGCTTGTTCAGGTGACCATGTGCTGTGATGTACATGCAGGGAAGTTTTGCCGTTCGTAGCAATGAGTCGTGGGATGTGTGTTTTGGGTATGACGTGCTGACCGGTGAAAGATGGGCAATTACTCGTTTTTTGGTCTGGCTATGAGCTGAGAGCGGAGCTCAACACAGTGGTTGACGGCTCTCGTTTTGGTCACTAGGCCAGAGCTCCCAGCAGCACTTGACACAGCGGTTAGAATCTCATTATTGCGTCTTGGATTCATCATCACCATCATCAACAGCAGTACATCAGCCATTTGAACTGATGCTTCGCTGCCATACAACCATGAGGACCTATGAAATAAAGAATAAGAAGAGGGAGAGAAGGAGGACTTAACTGAAAATCTTAATGCCCTAAGCAAACATTCAGTGTCAAGGCGCCTACACCTTGTGTAGACAACATACCGTCACAAACGGCTGGCTATCGTGCAAAGATAAGACATCTTGGAGTACCCGCCGTGTGTCCCGATTGCGACAGGTAATCTAGATTGTGGCTACAGTTTACTTTGAATCAAACCTATGTCGTTTCGATCCCTGCGACCGCATGCGAAGTGGAGAGTTTCGGAGCAGCTTTCTCTCAACACTGTGGTCTCCGTTTGGATTGCTTGTCGCAATTCAGACGCACGGCGGGTACGCCAAGACCTAGTAATGAATATTCAGAGTTGTGCGTCACTTCCGGCAAATTCATGGAAAGAAAAAGTGACAAGGTTAAGAGATGAGTGGATGACTTTAGATCAGGAGGCAGGTGGACGCCTGTAGATGAACAGCTTCTACGTACACCTGAAGCACAACAAAGCAAAGTTTGCCTGTTATTCATCGCCATTTATTAGGGGTTAACTGTAGCAGCATTTAAGCGGTATGTGTATGCTTGTATTTTACTAATGCGTTTACTGGATTCTGCCCACCAAACGTTTTGCTTGGGCAGTACGCATTGCATGAAGTTCCAGTGCCAGTACAAAGCAGGTCAACTAATGGCTGCATTAATGTTACCGGTTGTTATCTGGTCCAAACTGTAATGATAAAAGCGAACAACATGTCTAGATTTATTGCCAGGGTGTAAAATTAGGATTGGTCTGGACCTCTTTCTCATAACTTTTGTTCTGCAAGGAACGCCGACACAGTTTTATTGAGAACTATGCGTGAAGTAGTGAGGCACATTGTAAATCATTGGTATGTGTAGGAGAAACAACTACAGTTCGTGCTAGTATGAGCTTTTGGTAAGAAAATCGAATACGAGCTCGTTCGTAGTGGATAATTTTAGGCACCGTTCCGCCAAACAAAGAGCTCTGTATTTACGGTTCAGCTGTTTAGCGTCTGGAATAGAAATACGAAGATGACTTTGAACCTGTGGAGCCACAAAACGATCCAACTGGAACTGTTTACATCTACCGTCATTTTAACGATTCCGGTTAGCGCATCGTAAATGGACGTCGCATTCTCTTACTTGCTATTCGGCCACTTTTCTTCGAGTTGGTGAACACCAATTATCAGTATTCTAGCATCGGTTGAGCACAGGAAGTATATAAAGCAGGTCTAGATTTCCTATGCATAAGCGACTTGCAAATGTAGCTAATGACTGATCTGGCCTTAGCTATGCTATATCGGACATATTTGGTGAAGTGCTATTATTTTGTTGTGGATACTTCTAAGCCATGTACTATAAAGTACTTGTAGGCTTCGGTTCACTTGAGGTGGACCTCGGCCATTCCGATCTTAAAGACCGTAAGTAAAAAGAAACCTTTTATAGTGTTGCTCATCCCAACACGGGCACCCCAAGACGGCGGGTTCGTCCTGGTTAGGACTCATCAGTTGGAGAGAGCCTGAGTTGGGCTGGAACTCAGAGCCTAGTGGCTCATGGTTGACACCATGAGCACTATGCCACTTTTTACTTACGGTCTTTAAGATCGGAATGGCCGAAGTCCACCTCAAGTGAACCGAAGCCTCAATAGAGGTTGCTTGTAGCAACCCAAGCACCAGCGGATTCTCCAAGTCCATCTTTGAATTCGTTTCCGCTGTATCAAGCGTTGCTCGCGGATCTCAGTGGCATAGTGCTCATGGTGTCAACCATGAGCCACTAGGCTCTGAGTTCCAGCCCAACTCAGGCTATCTCCAACTGATGAGTCCTAACCAGGACGAAACCGCGGTCTTGGGGTGCCCGTGTTGGGATGAGCAACACCATAAAAGGTTTCTTTTTTACTTGCCAAGCAGTTCCCCTTTTCCTGCAAGTGTATTGGGCGGAAGCATACACCGTTACGAAATGACATTTTTTGCGGGGGAAAATTCAATTCTCCGAAGGTCGAACCACCAAGCTAAAGCCTTAAGCTCGCTCTGGATATGAGACAGATCATTAACTGTTCCGTTGGCATCAAGTGGGAATACAACTTTAATATCAACAGCAAAAAGCAATGGTCTGCCGTGAGAGAAACAATGTAACAAGTGAACATACAGTAGAAAGAGTAGAGGAGCTAGAACGCTACCCTGATAAACGCCGCTGGTTACAGGCCTATGCTTCGATTTCGAACTACTCAGACGTACCAGTAACAGTTAGTGCAATATACCGAATGACTGGGGCTTAGTCGATATGCCAGTATTTAGAACACGGTTATAAGGCCCAGTTGAATGATTATTCGCAGTGAGCTACTTTGTCACATCACAGTGGTTCGACGAGCAAGGGAGAATCGTAAGGTACAAAGTTTACCCAGGCTACAATCTTGTGGAACAAAGCAGGAGTTAATGGGAAAACACAGTTCCAAGGTACCACTCATGGATGCGATTTCGACGCAATGCACTGAGCTAACTGTGATAATAGCGCTTCTTCGTAGTATACAGAGCTGATCATCACTGTACGCTTCAGCGCAATCATTGTACAGTTAAACGGACTATTCAAACAAGTGAAGATAAAGATTTCTTTCTCCACTGTGGCATCCTGCCTCAAAAAAGAAAAATATCCAGCCAGCAGTTAACTCGTAAATAAATATATCAGCCTGTATCTAGTCGGATAGATAGTGATCACAAAATCTTTTGGATACAAATTCGAGATATTTAAGCAAGCTTTATTGCTGGCGCCCCGCAAATGTAAGTGGACATTGCGCGGACCGCAGTAAAGAAGTGATGCGGAAACTGCAGCCTGGTTTTGAAGAAGACTCTATGGGCTCGGGCTTCGTTAGTACGATTCGCGAACAAAAATACTGGGAGCGCAACCACTTGGTCTTGCCTGGGAGTGGCAGTGGATAAATTAACCCTGGTTAATTATAGAGTTTGTGTATGTGACGATTAAAGAAAACGCATATTTCCAGTAACATAAGAGTAGTAACAACACTGTTCCGCCTCACGCATTTATACCAGAGAACTGTTGTTGCATACACAAGTAGACACGCAAGCAATACCGGCATGCGGAGATCCTTTCGAGTGAACAGATGTGTGAACCTAAATTGAGGTTTGGTTTTGACACTCGCCATTTCTTCCATTAATTCACACACAAGCGCTTCAACGTTCTCATTGGAATTGAGACGACAAAAAGCTTTCCGTGCCGCAATCTCATCGCCATTCTTCATAAACAGGAAACGCGGGCTCTCTGGACAGAATGGCAGAATGAGGAGGGAGATTGCCGCTGGCACAACACACAATCCGCATGCGATGGGCCATAATTCGTTCGTGTTCAGTGTGCTGGACAGTGTGGCTAAGTACGCGACCACATCGCCTAAGGTGATACCCAGAGCATTACATGCTGCAACCGTTCCACGGAGTTCGCGAGGTGCAACTTCAGCCAGATACATCGGAGCGATTCCCGTCGTGATACCACAATTGAGACCCAAGAAGAAGCGGCCAGTGAACAGCAAGGCGGCCTGATTGGCGTGAACACAGGTGGCACACAGTATGCTCCCGAGGACAGCGAAGGCGTGATTTAATAGGAGCCCGTTTCGCCTGCGTTAGAAGTGTGAGCGATAGATGCGGTTCGAAGCTGTTTTGAGTTTTGTAAATGGTGACAAAGCATGCATAAGGTTAAAAATCTGCAATAACAATCTCTTAACCACAATCCCAGTGTCAGTGCTTAGATGTGAAATGTATGTGTATTATGGACAAACTAAAGACGCAGATTACGTACTGCAATAACGGAGACGTAACAGACGTATCGTTCCTCGTTTTCCCCCACAACATGTTTATATACCACAGAATTTTTAATCTGGAGTGCACCATGAATCTCGCCAACTAGATTTTGATATTATCCACCGAAATTGAGTGATGAGATTTCTAATAACCCTGCCGTCTGTTCAGGTGAATACTTTGCTGTCAGCTAGTAGGGATATTGCAATTGGCTTCGGTGGCCATTTACTAACTTATCTATTGTAGGCAATGACATGACTTACTTGTCGTCTGGCCATTCAATGTATCGGCGATTAAATGTTACGTGAGTAATACGTCGATGTGGATTACCATCTCTAGGTAGCACCAACAACGTTTTTCATCATATGGCTTTTCGTAAGTGACACACTGAAATTCCATATGTTAGCTGCTGGTTCGGGTGAACAGCGTCATCGCAAAAGCAGTGGACAGGAAGCAAATGAGGTGACACACACGTGACCAGACTATAAGGACATAGACTAGACTAGGGTGTGTCAACTTTTCGTGAGGATGGCCACATTTTGTGAGGTGAAAATGGAATGAGCCATATTCAGTCTAACATTAAGATACTAACCAATAGTGACATAATTTTTTTAATTGTAAGTGAGGTTATTCAAGCTTCTCAACCCGTTCATTTTTAGTCAACTTGTCATAGATAGTATGCCACATTTGATAAGGTCGAGATTGCATTTCTTGAAAACAACTGCACTCTCCAAACAAATCAAACACGCCTATTTGGTCAGTCGTTCAGCGCAAAATACTCAAATTTCCACTCTTCCTGGAAGCGGTGTCCTTTATCATTAACTAGTTTAGACGCATTATTCGTCATAGAACAGGAATGAAAATCATGTACATAGAAAGTTAACGAATCTTCTTTTCTTTTATTCACTTCAGCTCAAACCCTTTTTATCCTGGGAGTGGTGAAATTGGATGAGGAAACTTTTGCTTTTGATGAAATTAAATAATCAGAGAAGTGAAAAGGTTGTGTCAAAAGAAATACAAAGTAAACTCTATCACAGTAAAAATTTATAGCCCGAATTCGCTTATAAAACAAAGCTCCTTTTCTCAGAACGGGTTAGCTTTAGGTAGTCATATACATAAAAATTTAACGAACCCAATTTTAATTTGGTCAAGACGCATTTCCTAAAAGCACTAGGTTTGCAATTTCCCAGTTAATGAAAGATAAACAATAGTGCATCCTTGATTTGTGCTAGCATCTGCCGACCATGAATCTTGTACTCATAACATCTACAATATTTTTTACTCTGTCTGATATTGTTTGCACGGGAAAAATGCAGCTTGAATTCATTATTTCATGATAAGGCCCGCGGGCCGGACTTTGGACATCCCTGGATTACATGAACAACGAGGAAGTGGTGCCGCCTGTCATGAACGAAGCACAGTATGGGGGCGGAAATTTACACAACTGCAGCTTAGCTCATGCAAGCCATTAGGGCTAAGGTGACTGCTAGCTTTCCAGTGCACTTAGTGTTATGTGACCCGTTTTGAAGCGACACGATTACTATCTTCGGACCGCATCCATTGTAGCTTTTGTATGGGTTTAGCCTTGAGATGCAGGCGGCCACAACGTTGTCCAAGAGCACTGACTCACAACTACAACGTCATGGATGTGGGTCGTGAGCCAATTTTTACGATCCATCATGCGTAAGTATCTCGGGTACCGGCGAATAAAGAGAGTAGTAGATAGATTCACCGAAAGGTGCTTCTCTTGAGTTCACTTGAAGCACTTACGCACGCAACATGGAATGACTAAGATTCGTCAGACAAAATAGGATTTGTGCCGACGACCTTAAGTATAAAAGAAAACTTCCTTTTAATCACTGTTACGACTCGACACAACCCGACAAAGTCTCCATTCACTAAATGACTTGTTGTTATGCGGACGATTGCCCCTGATCAGATTGGCAGGTTCAGTCGGAACAGTGAGTAGGTGCACATGGAGTTCACTCGATTCAGGTCAATGAACAATGAACAATGAATTTTTACTAGTTAAGAAGTACTGCTTGAAAAGCCCCGTTGAGTGGTCTGGTGGGTCATCGGAAAACGTTATTGAAAATATGCAGTTCGTATTTTACATTTACGCGGGTGGATTTATCGCTTGTAATACGGTAGCCTGCGCTTCGTACAGCTGCACAACTCTAATAGAGGACAAGTAATAAATCCAAGGTATTTTCAGCAACGAGCACGGACTGATAGTGCTAGATAACAAAAACTAAGCGGTTGAGTACATCATCCAACCTACTTTTCTAAATGGCTAGTGTAAGTGTGGAAACGACTGATTTGGCGGACAGCGTTCCACGGATGACACACACGAATAGATAAGAAATTCCTGTGACACTCTAGACGACTATATTGCTCTATGTGCTTCATTTAGTGACTTCTCATGTTCGTATCACTGCTGAGTTGCAGTACTCAGCGGCACACACAATTTGGATTGCGTATAATCAAATACGCCGTAATGAAGTCGTCTTGTAGACGGCGATACTTTCCGCTAAATATTCGCAATTGCTTCTGCATCCGATTATCTGATGCATGGCGCATTCCAGGGATGTATCTGGAAGCCGGTCGTTGAGGTTGGTGCAATACTGTAATGTTGTTTTTCAGGAATGAACGTCACGCTTGAATTGTGTATACAGATTAAAGGCCAACATACACACTGAGCATCTGTCAGAAAATAGAGGTGTCTATTTATCTGTGCCCGTCGTAACAGACCGACGTGTTGGTTATCAATTTTGAAGGCTTTTTCGGATTGCATGGCTTAACCTAAACTATCTTAAATCAGCACATCCAGATCCCGGTCGACGAAAGCTCGCGGCAATACATGCGTTCTCAGCCTGTTTTGGTAGCAGATAGGGTGTCGTATATAGGGTACCCTGCATGTGCCCACGTTTAAACGCAGTACATTATAATTGACCACCGATGAATCGTGCCACGGCCACTCTGAAGTAAACGCTGGTCGGCATATGGTTGAGTCCTACGCGAAAACTTGATATAGCCGACTAACAGTACGAACTCTAAAACCATTGCCTGTGCGAGGTCATTGATAAATACCGAAAACAATCGTGGCCTTATAACTGAGTCTTGAGGAACAACACACACCTTGTATGGAGTCAGATAATGGTGCTTGGAGGAGAAAGTTGACAATCCAGCTCAAGAGAGGGTCACGATGCCGTAGTAATGAAGCGTGGAATGGAGAAACCGATGATTTAGACAATCGATTGCCTTGGAAAATCTAAATAGAACACATCAATGTTCTCCCCAGCATCAGCAGACTCGGGTCAACTACTTCATGCAATTAATGCACTTGCTGTGCACAATCGATTTCCACGGAACTCGCGCTGCTCGGGCGCAATGATGTTGCAGTTTTACAGGTAGCACACCAGTGTAGCGGTAATGATGGATTCCGTGACCTTAAACACTACAGGGAGAGGCGATACTGGGCGGTGTTTGAAGGCGCAGTTCATTTTACGACTTTGTAAATCGCAGTTATTATGCCAAGCTTCCACATAATAGGAACCTGGTGCTAGTCTAAGTAGTGTTGAAACGACGAAGCCAAATGTACTGCCAGTTGTCTGGTTGCTACTCCCAGTGCTTCTGAGTGAATGGCATTGACACCTGGGGAGCTGTGGTTGCGCAAAGACGCAAGCTTTTGCAAGACAGCTTCAACGATAAAAGAAATGTGAGCCAGTCCTGGCGGCGGGGCGACAAAACCTGGAACATCTTTTGATGACGACACCTTCTGACATTTGGGAATATATGGTATTGGAAATAGGCAGCTAACACGTTTGCATCCTACGGAGTGCATTCAGCCGATTTCACCAGTCGCATTTTCAACAGTCTTCCATCTCATACATATGTCCACATGTTGTTTACATAACACAGGTCTGACAGCCATGGCTGAGGAGAGATCACATCGCCTTGAAGATACCCAAAAGCAGAGCAACCAAGAGTGTCGGGGGTTTGAGTCCTTTGCTGTACGAACAAAGGCTTTGAGTGCTCTGGGTATTCAACGGACGATACGGGCGATTTCGTGAACACCTTATTTGGTTTTACCAGGTTTTGAGGTATCCCGACCACACGTGACGTCGTTTGCTAGAGGTCAGTTCTAACAATCATCTGTGAGACCACCAGCTCAGGTTGGAAGAACAGTGCAGTCGTTGAGAATGCCGTCGGAAATGCTTTTAGGTACGTTTTATCCAAGCATGGAATTCCCTACCGCAATCCGTTACATGTGATCCTACACTGGTAAAGTTCAAAACCCGAGTTTCGTGTGCACTCATTTCCCTACACATCCTCCCATGACCTATTGCTCATGCCTAAACACTAATGTCTATCGATGTTTCACTGACGGTCAGCTCCCATAGTACGTTCCAACTTATATCCCTCCTATATGTGTTCACCGGGAGGCGGCAGAATTTTAGCAACGTCCCAGTTGTCGTCATTCTTCAGGGATTTACGGTATATTTACCGTTTATAATGCGTATACCTGTGGGAGTCCACAGGTGTAAACATATGTTTCTGACAAGTTTTCCATATTTTGCATTATTCACCATGACCATCCAGTGATACTTGTGGAGCTTCAGCTATTTTACCCATATAAGCCATTGTCCCATTGATCCGTAGCGCGATTGCTTCTCTTATAGCCATCCGGATTGAAGGTACTCCTTGCTTGTCCATCTGATTGTGCTTAGTGCTGAAAGTTTTCCTGAGGTCCTGTTGATATGCGGTTTTGTCTTTTAGGAGCAGTTGGGTGAATCTGTTATGTTGGGCCACGTACTTGT